GAACAGCATTGAGTGGTAAATTAATATTATTCATGAATTATTTTAAGCGAGTTAATGTAAGTATAGTGTTTATTTTTAAATGAATAACATAAATATTACTCTTCCTTGGAATAATCCATATAAAGTAGAAAAGAACACGTTTCATTTATCTCATGGTGCTTTTAAACTATGAAATAATCATTCTAGAAAGCCAAGCAGTGTCCGTTTTAAATACTTCTCACCTCATTCCTTTTTTCATAACATGAAATGACCATAGTCGTGGGGGAAATAATGTAACCGCTAAAAATTGAATATGACGTCCCCGCATTAGGATGTAACGTGCCTGTAAATCATGCTGTCTAGCTGTCGCTAAGGGTCTGTGAAAGGAGGCATGAAACATTAACCAGCAGGACACAACACATTAGGGTTGTTTTTGCCACACTCAACATGGAGGGCAGGTCACACCGAGAATTAGTTCAGCTCCTCAGACCAGCCTGGCAGGTCCCACCTCAACTCTTTCTGATTGGCAGAGAGATTCCACCCTCGAGGTTGTCTGGGCGACTATTGGCCAGTAGTCCAATCAGTCAGGTGTCATCTCTTTGCTCTTTGGAACAAGTAAACAAACAAGTATTGCTCAAGAAGGGTGCAGGAGCTATTCTCAGAAAGGATGCAAGCAGGCGGATTTTGAAGCTGACTCTCAGTAGATTGCAGTCTTTAGGCTCCTGCGAGGTATTGTCTGTGGCCAAGAGAGGATCTGCCTCTGGTGTACAACTTTAGAAATCAGCAAACTGGTGCAGGCAGGAAAGCCACCAGGAATCACTCATATTACCTATTGTGGTTTCTTACATGAGCGTAACAGCTGATGGAACTGGCTGGCGTTCCACAGGTTTTTTGTTTTCTTATTTTTTAATTCTAAACAAGTTTTAAAGGATGGTTGTTTTTCGAATTCTATCATACATGGGACTGTTAAGGGATGAGGCTCATTTTAAACCGTGAACTTCTCGGTTAGCCTTTGAATATTTTCTCTTCTTTCCGTTCACCTTGACTGTTTCTTCTGAGCAGTGGGTAAGATGCCATTTTTCACATCTGGCTTCTGAGAACCAGCATGAGTCAAGTTAACATGGTTTGCTTAAGTCCAGGAAATACTCCTTTCAGTGACTTTTGAGGCAACCAATTGAAAAATGCCCTGCCCTGTATTCTGTTTGTTTCCTTACGTGTTATCAGTTCTCACTAACAAGAAGTCCATTACTGTAGTCTCACAGCGTTCAGACAAATGATCTCTTCTATCTAGTTTTTCCTCATTTTAGCATGAATGCGTCCTCCTTAGGGTTCTTGAAGCCGGTACCTGCGGGTTACTGTAAATATTCAATAAGAACACGATTACCTTTTGACCTTGTTCCTTGACCTTGTTCTTAACAGACATGGATGAAAAGAAGTTAATCTTGTCAATTTGCTGTTTTCTTGTTTAACCTGAGGGGTGACTCAAGGGTCACAAGGATTTATGAGCTTGTTTTACAGAAGAAAAAGAATGCCTTCAAGGAAGTTAAGATCATCAGATAACTAGCCCCCAGCTGCGGTTGATGCCTAGAAGTCAGATTGCCCTGGGGCTTATCTGGAGTGAAAGAAATAGATTTCCCATTTGTTTCCCCAAAACTCCTCCTACCAAGCCCCTTAGCTCTATAAAACCCTCTGCTTTCTTCTCTTGTTAAGGTGGATTTGAGAGAACCTATACTCCTGCATTATCGTTTTGCCCAATTTGAATAAGCCTTTCTCCATCTCCAAGAACCAATGTCTCAGCAATTGGCTTACTGTGCATGGGCACACTCACTTGAGGTTAAGAGGTTGGTATCATTCTTTGTAAAGGCTACAGTTCTGTATAAGGGATTGTAAAAGTACTCAAGGACACACGAAGCTCCCAGGGTTCCATGTGGAATAGTTCTCTGCTACACACCGAGTCTTTTCCCGCTGCTTCCTTTCCACCAATATGGATTACCGAAGCTCTCACAGCCATCTTTTCTTTCTGTTCTGTGGCCAGCACTAATTCAATCCCTCAGCATCTTTGTGGGTTATTGTACACAGCCTTCTGTATTACTGCTGTCCAGAATACATAGATATAGATTTTTCTTTTATAGTTGCATGATTCAAATTACGAACATAGTTTAACCATTCTTCTGAAAATGGAAATTTAACCAAATTAGTTTGTACATTTTCATATACTCTCAACTCCTCTAGGAGAAAATTGTATTTTATTAATAGGGCCTAGTAGAGAGTAGATAGATTAAAAAAATAATAAACTGATCAAACTATAACAGTGGCAAGGATCATGCTTTGGAATCTATGGATCCACGCAGAGCATAGCACAGAGGCTAGTGAGGCATTCCGTAATATTTATTACCTTAGTTGATGTATTTTTGTTAGCTGAGATACTTGCTAGCTTGGATCATCATGGTGGTAATCCACCAGTAATCTCAAAATCTGCTTCTTGTTCCTTGATTTTTAGCCTTTTAGCTAGTTCATTTGTTCTGTTTTTTCTTTCAGCAAACATTTATTGAGTAAACATTCACTGATTCCTAATGTGTGTTAGCATATCTATCTCGAGACAGGGAACATCTCTAGTAAGGTTGGTACCGTCATGCAAAATAACCAATAACCATTCTATAGATAAGAGAGATGAGGTGAGTTGTACTTGAGCCAGAGTGAGGATTACAACCCAGGAGGGCCTTTTCCAGAAAGGAAGAAAGCCTTTTGGAGAAGCTTGGTTTTCAGTACAGTCTTATACCTTTTAGAGCAAAGAATATACATTAAACTCACCGAGAATACATGTTCATCAAAGTTTCAGCCATATTCATTTGCAAATTATCAGGTCAACATGACCCTAAGGTCGGGAAAGGGACTAATATGGGCTGGTGTTACCAACAGGGTATTACCGATAGGGCCTTACCAATAGGGCGTAGGAGGGGAAGTATGCGTTTTATCTTAAGAGAAGTAAATGCATTCTTTAATGGTTAAAGCTGATATACAATGTATGTGTGATAGGCCATAAGTCAGCCCTTTTAGTTGAAGCCGAATCAGTTTTGAACTCAAATAGTCACCCCATATACCTAAATATGTGAAAATCTCTTGTCAGTACAAAAGGAAGCACGTGTTTGTAATAAAACCATATGATGGTGCTGTGATAAAGGGACCCTGCTTCCTAGAAGGAGGTGCCATTTGAGGACAAGGAGGAAGGGGATTGGGTGTTTAATGGCACAGCCTGGAGTCTTCCTGGCAGAGCAAAGCAGCAGAGACGTGACAAGGCACTTCCGCTGAGGAAGTGGATGGCTCAAATTGAGGGACGTGTGTGGGGACAGGAGACCGGCCAGACTGGGAGTTTTGGACCAGACTGGGAGGCACTTTATGTGATGGGATAGGGAGTCAATAGGGCAATTAAATATTTTAAATAGGTGAGTGATGCGATGACTCGGCTTCAGTTGACGTGTTGCTATTTGAAGGAAGCGTCCTGACCGCAGCTTGGAGGACGGATTGAAAAGCCGTCTAGACGCAGGGGGGTCAGTGAGGGGATGTTTGTCAATTGTGTGGACCTGAGAGAGGCAAGGTTTGAACTAAGGCATTGTCGTTGCCGTCTGAAGATGTGCTTTCCTGTTTATGGGATTCTGTGGACCAGGCAGGGTCCGCAGTCCTCTTTTCTCCTTCGAGACCTCCTTATGCCGCTGGGAGTGAACAGCCAGGAATTTGTGGAGGCTGGGCCCAGGGTACTGGCAGGGTCGCTAATTTCCTGTTTGATCAGACCCCACACACCACCATAAGCACTGGGGTGGCTTCCATTTAGACTCTGGGCAATTCCTCCAGCACTTCAGGCATTCAAGGAAGTGTTGACCAGGACGGAGCTGGGCCCACCCAGTTATAGACAGACCCCTGTAACCGTATGCACACCCCTGGCCCTCCTCTCTGGAAACAAGGACGGCAATAACAAATTTCTTGTTATCAGGAGCTGTTAAGGTGAAGCCGCTGTCACGAGGCTCTGGGCCTGCCTCCGACAGCACACGTGCCCCGGAGCACAGTAAACATGGTAATTAGGGCACACGATCACCACAGATGACACAGGATGCCACAGCTGGCGTGATTTCCCCTTCGCATTGCAATAAGGGTAGACACGATTGAATGTCAGCTTTTAGATAAAAGAAAGGGCTGAGAGGCACAATTCTGGGTTCCATCTGGCTTAAGTAGTCCGGACGGAGTGCGGCAGAAGTTTGCATCTCTACGCTGGCCGCCCAATCGCGCCTTCTGCGCAGCGGGCCCTCTCCGGGGGTGTCCTCAGTGGGGTCCTCCGCGGGGAGTTCCCAGAGGGGGACCTGGAGGGCCCTCCTCAGAAGGGGGTTTTCCGGGGCGTGGTTCTTGGAGCCATTGTGGGGCGCGTCCTCAGGTCCTCTGGGGGAAGTTCTCAGAGAGGGTCCTGGGGGTGTCCTCTGGGGAGGTCCTCGGGGCCGGCCTTGGGGCCTTAGGGCCATCGTCAGGGGGGCCTCCTACGGATGGGTTCTCTGGGGGGAGTCCTAAAAGGCGAGCTTCTCCGGGGGCGAGGGTCCTCTGGGCCGTCCTCAAGGGGGCGTCCTGAAGGGGGAACGTCCTTGGAGGAGTCCTGGGGAGTCCAGGGGGTTGGGGGCAGTTCTCATGGAGGGTCCTGGGGAGGGGTCCTCTGAAGGAGTCCTCGGGGGATGTGTTCCCGGGGGACTTCTCCGAGAGGGTCCTCTGAGGATCACCGGCCGAGGGAAGAGAGCGCCGCGGAACCCCGGGAGGGCTGCGGGATGTCCCTCCTGGCGGGCGGGGCCAAACCCGAGGTGCCGGCCTTGGGGCGGGACTGGGCTCTCCGGCGGGGCGGGGCCCGGTTCTCGCGCGGGGCGGGGCTCGGCTCTCCCACGGGGTGGGGCTCGGCTCTAGGGGGCGGGGCCCGGCTCCCGCGGGGCGGGGCTAGGCTCTCCCGCGGGGCGGGGCTCGCTCTGGGCGGCGCGTGCGCACGGGCGGCGGCGGCGCGGCCGTCACTCGGGCCGGCATGGCGGTGTGCGCTCGCCTCTGCGGCGTTGGCCCGTCGCGGGGATGCCGGCGCCGCCAGCAGCGGCGGGGCCCGGCTGAGACGGCGGCGGCTGATAGCGAGCCGGACACGGACCCGGAGGAAGAATGCATCGAGGCGGGCGCGGCGGCGCTGTCCGGGGCGGGGGGCGGCCGGAGCGCGGGCCCCTCGCCGCCCCCGCGCTGCTCGCTGCTGGAGCTGCCGCCCGAGCTGCTGGTGGAGATCTTCGCCTCGCTGCCCGGCACCGACCTGCCCAGCCTGGCCCAGGTCTGCACCAAGTTCCGGCGCATCCTGCACACCGACACCATCTGGAGGCGGCGCTGCCGGGAGGGTAAGCGCGCCGGGCGGGTGTCGGGGCAGCGGGGGCGCGGGCTGGAGAGGTCAGAGGTCCAGGCCTGGAGGGGGCTCGGACCTGGAGGGGGCCTGCCATAGATCGGAGCTCCAGGAGGCGGGTCCTACCCGGGCGGGGGCAGTGACCCCGGGGGCCCTGCCGCAGATCTGGGGTGCGGGGGGCGGGCGGGGTGGAGTTCTTGGATGGGCAGGGGAGCTGGCCTCTACCTGGCTTGGCGTGCTCAGAGAGGGGTTGAGGGGTGCCCCAGCGGCGGGGGGCAGGACGCCGCGGAGCCGAGGGGAGTGACGCGAGCTGGGTTTAGGCCAGGAAGTGAGCTGACGTCTGCGGGCATCTTTCTGGTCCCCAGCCCTGGGGGGCGGAGCTGAGGGAGCGATGAGGGTGAACTTGATTAGTTAGGGGAGTAGAGGGAGCCCGAGTGTTTGGAGGGTCCCCTGAGGCGGGGACCGGGTCTCGGGAGAGGTGCGTGGAGCCGAGCCAGGCAGTGCTGGAGGGGATCGATGACCCCCTCAGGGTGCTGGTGGCAGCAGTGAGGGTAGCGAGTAGTTTTGTAACAAATCCTGGGAGGAAAGGTTTACTTAATCCAGAGTTCAAGGTTCTCTGCGTTTAAAGGTTGACAGATCTCTGATGTTCACTCAGCTCTCATATTTTGGTAAAAAGCTAAGAAAAAATCCAAACAATGCAGAACACCAACAGGAAGAAGGTAAAAATCATTAGGGACCCCTGCAATGAAAGATAAGCCACTCTTACAATTTTGGAAAACCTCTCTCTCCATATATGCGTGTAGAGTCATGTGCACATTTTTACTTAAATGGGATCATACCATATATATTCTCGTAGGGACAGTTTAGTATAAAAGCTTCATAGTGTTCTACTGCATACACATGCCACAGACTAGTCCCTTACTCATAGACTTGAAGTTTACAATTTTTCCTTGTCATAAACAGTCCTATCAAGATGGCCTTTGTACATTTTATAGGAATTTATGAGACTTACATGTACCTTTTAGAACTTCTGAGATTATCTTCTTAGGGTGCACCTCCCAAAGTGGGTTGTAGGCAGTAGGATGGATGACATCTTAGATACCCATTGCCCAGCTATTGGGATTCACACCCCCAGGGAGGCTGCATGAGAAGGCCTCTTTCCCCAGGTCCTCCCCAGCAAGGGGTCAGCCAGTCATCTTATCTCTGCTGTAAAGCTCAATGGTCACGACTCGGGATTTGGGGTCAGCAGGCCAGGCTCTGTCTGTCTGCTGTGGGGTCCTGGACATGCTGCTTCACCTTCCCCAGCGTTAGCGGGAAGTGCTGCCCCCGTGGGGTCGCTCTGAGGGTTAAATGAGATAAGGCATGTGAAGCCCTCATCCCCTAAATGGTAGCTTTTGGTTGTGATGCTTCTTGACATTTTTATTTCACCTCTTGTGAATTCCCTATTTGTATTTTTTCGGTCTCCTTTTCTCTTAGGGAGTCTCTTTTTGTCTTACAAATTTGTAAGAACTCTTTGAATATTAGCAATATTAACCTTTTGTCATATATGTGGCAAGTAAATTTCTTTTGACATTTCAAAATAGAGGCAAAGAAAGTTCCCCTTTCTCTTTCTCTGTGAACGCTACCTTCATTTGCTTTGTTTTGCATTTTGTACGCCTGTGAGACCCAGATTCGTCACAGATGTTCCATTGTACTTTGAGGAGTTTCTCCATTAGTTGGCCAGAACCTTGTGGTGGTCTCTGGGGGGTTTGTCCCTGGGCAACTGTAAGGTATGGAGCTCAACTCTAGGAACAGAAGGCTTCTGTGTGGTCAGAGAACTCAGAGGTGTGCCGCAGAATAAAATGAACTGAAGTTAATTCTTAGAATTGCTAATGGAAATATGAAAAGTCCTGGTGAAGCTGTAGAAAGCATGTGGGGGACAGACAGAGAGGGACTCTTCATCCCTCCCTCTGGTGGCCGCAGTTCTCGGTATGGCTTTCCTGGGACAGCAGACAGCGTGATGGTGGAGTCAAGGCAGCTCGTTCACCCAGGTGGCCTGACATGCAAGGAGAATTTTTGTTTTGAGAAATTGGAAAAATGAAAGACAAAAATGATAAAATGGGCATATTCCTAGACACCCCCAGTAAATAACTATTGAGTCTTTTGTCATATTTGCTTTTGATTCTTTCTACCTTTTTTTTAAGAAAACATCTCAGCTAATACTCGAGTCCCTTCTGCTTACCACTTCTGCAAGGAGCAGCCACTGTTGCAGGTTGTTTCCTGGTGTGTACACACACCTGTGCTCATCCCCAATACATAACGCTGTCTTGTGGTGGCTCAGCCTTTTGACCCATATCATACTGTAAGTATTGTGCATCTGCGTTTCTCCCGTCAGCTTGTGTTTTTAAGTTCTGTCCACGTTAATATAGTTAAGTTTGGTTCTGTCTTTTTAAATGCTGTGTGGTGGGTCATAACTTGAGGCCACGCTTTGTTCCTTTGCTTATTTGTATTGTTTTCATTATATGCAATGTGACAGTGAACAAGCTCATATATGTTCCCTTGGACACAGATAAGTTTGACAATTTGTCTAAGGACTCTATGCAGAGGTGGTGTTGCCGGGCCCTGGGCTGTGAGCGCTGCAGTTTTACTACATACTATCCAGTTATTTCCACAGTGATTTCACCTGTTGACACATCTGTCACCAGGCATGAATGGGCAGGTCACAGAAGGTGAAATGCAAATGCTCAGTATGCATCATCACAGTGTCGCCGCCATTGTGGTCCAGGTCCTGTAGGTTATCTCATTCAATCCAACGTCCCCTGTATCCTCTCTAATTGCAACGATCCGTCTTTAGGAATCTGCCAGTCTGGATGAGAAACAGCAGCTCATTTTAGTTTGCATATGCTTGAAAACTAGTGAGGATGCATATGTGAAAAATAGTCATTGGCAATTTGCATTTCTTGTATTTGCTTCTCCTTAATCTTTGCCCTTTTTTCCCCTATTGTTATTTTTTTCTTATTGATTTGTGGGTTTTATTTACTATGGATACATTTCTGTTTACTATGTTACAAAACATTTTCTTATAGTCTATAGTCATTTGCTTTTTAACTTCGTTTGTAGTGACTTTTGCGACAGTTACAACATTATCAAAGTTACGAATTTTTAACTGGGTTTAAGTGATCATTGTCATCCCAAGGTTATGAAGATGGTCGCAGCCGGGTCTTCAGTTTCACTAGTTCGTTCCAGTACCTTTAATTTCCAGCTCATCTAGGTGAAAAATTGGATGGTTGGCGATTCCACATGGCATTCCTGGGTGTCTCATGGAGTTAGTCTAATTGTGATTGGAATATACATAAGAATAATCTTGTCTGAGACAAGTCTGATCTTATTTCTCTGAGCCCCAAAACTTCATCTTTCCTGAACTAGACATTTGGTTATGCTGGGTGTTAATAAGGCCAGAGACAAGTCCAGGTGGGTGAAAATCCAAGTGCTTGTGGCCTTGGTGAGCAGGAGGTGGCATCTCAGGCTGCCCGGGGAGGTGGGTCGTCCTGGCTCATCAACTTTCCTGGAAGGGAAGCTCCAGGTCGGCCCTTTCAGGGCTGTAAGGATGGCTCCATCTCTTAGTGTCTTGGAGGGTGAGTGAGACTAATTAGTGGATTTGCCTTTTTCCTACTCAATGCTTACGTGTTTGCTGTCTGTATTTTGATAATTGGATTTCCTAGAACAGAAAACAAGCCAGAAAAATGGGAATGGGAAAGAAGTACCGCACACCCGTGTTTTATTGCTTCCCAGACTTTGGGGCCATGATTGACTTTCAGGCCGAGGATGAGGCCTGCACGTTTGAGGGCTCTTGCTAAAAGGATAGGGTGGTTGTGGGGCAGGAGGAGGTACGCTGGAAACTTAAAATGAGGTAGCTATTTATAACGTTTGATGAGCAGCTCACCGTTTCCAGTGTCCTGGCAATAATCAATTAGCAATAATAAGTCAGTTGTTTTCATGGAACTTTGGCCTTTCTAGCCCCCGCATGTTGGAGCTGGTGGATTAGACATTTTCTAGTGGTGTTTCTCCAGGCGGGAGAAAGTAAGTTGCTACTGAGAAGCCAAATCTGTGCTCCTGCTTTGGGGACAGGCATATGACAGATAGGTGATATCTCCCCTCCTCCTGGAAACCCGGCGAGACCCAGCCAGGCTGCAGGGCAGGCGCGGGGAGGGTGCGGGCAGACGCTGTTTTTGATGCATCATTCCTTTGGCTACGGGCCTCCTGCAGTTGCTCGCATGTGGGGCTATAAATAAGTCATCGTTTCTCAGAGCACCGAGGGTAGAAGCCAAGTACGGTATTTTGCCTTTGACTCTGACAAGGCTTTTCTTGGTTAACACTTCACCGTTTAGCTGGTGAATTTTGAAATGCTAGCCAATTTTAACCTATTCATTTATGCAGGACTTTATCAAATCTACCTAAGGCTAATGAATTTAGAAAATTCAGACCATAGTTCCAAACCAAATATTCAAATAATAACAAAGGATACATTTAGGACACGGGAAGTACTCCTACGTGTGTTTTTTCCCTTCCACACCAAACTCGAAATACTGAGACACGAGGATTTCATATTCAGCTCAGTACCTGCCTGGGTCAGGTTTTGAATTGATAATATATAATTTGCCCACTTCTTCTCTTGATGGTAAGTGTTTTAATGACACATGGCATTATATTTGTATAATATTTCGATGAGTTATCAGTCTGAAGTGGGTTTAAATTCCATCATAATTAGAAACATCCCTTTCCTATAATGTATGATCTTTATGACAGAAATGGGAAATTAAAAACCAATATTTAATTTTGTTTTTGCATGCAGAAGAAAAGGCTGTTTCTGTCCTATTTGATATGAAGTATGAGAAACGTGGCCTTTATTAAATATGGCTGAAATTGGGAGGGCCATCTGGGGAAGAGGTGAATGGGCCAGCTGCTGGTTTTAAAGTTGGCTTCAGGGATCTTTTATGATTCCTGTTAAGCAGTTGCTTG